ATGCAGGTCAGTTCTCTTTCTCCTTCTCCATCTGAGATCACTTCCTATTTCGTGATTCTCCACATCAGATACAAAAAAATCTAGCACACATTATAGATCACAGTAGAGGCATCTGTCTCTATGTTTAGGGTCCTCTGCTTTTCTCTGAGATCACTTACTTGATTCTCCACATTACTCAGTGGAGAAAGTCTAGCAGACATTATGAGCTTCTTCATCAAAGTTTAAAGTTCTTTACCCTCCAGCACTATTTATGCACAGTTAATTCTTTTTCTATCTGAATGGCAATTTCGAGAGGTGTTATACCTCTCAACAGCAAGAAGCTCAACACTAAACCACTGCATTCTGCCAGTAAATACCAAACACAGTAATCCTAACTCCAGAGTCTGAATAGCAAGCAGATGTTATATTTCTTGGGATCTGTCTCAAGCAGGACAACATTAGAAGGGCAGAAGAAGACTTGCTTTGAAAGACTGCCCATTTTAAACAATATTCCCTATTGTCCACCTGTCTCACCTCCCATGTCCCTAAGATCACGGGCAAGGCATACGAATAGTGATTATTTGTCTCCTTTTCCTGTTTAGATTCAGTCTCAAAAATTAGAGGAAGAATTCATTTTGTTGGTGCTTGAAAGGTATTGCTCTTGTTCTCGTTGCTCTTGCAATTATTTCCCCTGCCCATTATTCTGTTTTTGTTGTTTATAGTCTCTTTTATTGTAACCATCATTCTTGCAAACCATCCCAAGGATGTTTTAATTTGACTTGGCAGTGCATCATGTTAATAAAGAAGTACAATGAATCATAAGAATGCAGCCAAAGCTGTCAATTTTTTAGCTACGGATTAAAGGGGCAAAGAAGAATCCAACAGGGAGAAGGAATAAAAAGATCTGCAGTTCAAAGTACAAATATAGGCTTCTCCTTAAAATCAAGAGGATATTCCCAAATGTATATTTGCAGCTTACCAGCAAAAGCTCCCACATATGTTCATTCACCAAACAGCCCTCAAAGAATGCCTACATTCTTTAAAAATGTGATGTCACCCCATGTGCTTGACTCCTCTGTCAGTGTTTCTCTTAGGATATCATATTGGAAATAATGTTGCTGAAATCTCACATCCAAAATAAATGCAATGTATTCTCAGCCTGTGAATCCAATTCTATCTACATCGGGGTAGGCAGCTTGTTGACTTTGGGGTATTGTTGTTGTTGTTTAGTCATTAAGTCATGTCTGACTCTTTGTGACCCCATGGACCAGAGCATGCCAGGCCCTTCTGTCTTCCACTGCCTTCCAGAGTTTGGTCAAATTCATGTTGCTAGCTTTGAAGACACTGTCCAGCCATCTTGTCCTCTGCTGTCCTCTTCTCCCCCTGCCCTCACACTTTCCTAACATAAAGGTCTTTTCCAGGGAGTCTTCTCTTCTCATGAGATGGCCAAAGTATTGGAGCCTCAGCTTCAGGAGCTGTCCTTCCAGTGAGCACCCAGGGTTGATTTCCTTCAGAACGGATAAGTTTGATCTCCCTGCAGTCCAGGGGACTCTCAAGAGTCTCCTCCAGCACCACAATTCAAAACCATCAATTTTTCTGTGACCAGTCTTCTTTATGGTCCAGCTCTCACTTCCATACATCACTACTGGAAAAACCATAGCTTTGACTATGCTGACCTTTGTCGGCAAGGTGATGTCTCTGCTTTTTAAGATGCTGTCTAGGTTTGTCATCCCTTTCCTCCCAAGAAGCAGGCAAGGTGATGTCTCTGCTTTTTAGGATGCTGTCAAGGTTTGTTATTGCTTTCCTCCCAAGAAGCAAGCATCTTTTAATTTTGTGGCTGCTGTCACCATCTGCAGTGATCATGGAGCCCAAGAAAGTAAAATCTGTCACTGCCTCCATGTCTTCCCCTTCTATTTGCCAGGAGGCGATGAGACCAGTGACCATGATCTTCGGGTTTTTTTATGTTCAGCTTCAAATAGTTTTTTGTGCTCTCCTCTTTCACCCTCATTAAAAGGTTCCTTAATTCCTCCTCACTTTCTGCCGTCAGAGTGGTATCATCTGCATATTGGAGGTTGTTGATATTTCTTCCGGCAATCTTAATTCCGGCTTGGGATTCATCCAGTCCAGCCTTTCACATGATGTGTTCTGCATATACGTTAAATAAGCTGGGAGACAATATACAGCCTTATCATACTCCTTTCCCAATTTTGAATCAATCAGTTGTTCCACATCCAGTTCTAACTGTTGCTTCCTGTCCCACGTACAGGTTTCTCAGGAGATAGATCAGGCACTCCCATTTCTTTAAGGACTTGCCATAGTTTGCTATGGTCGACACAGTCAAAGGCTTTTGCTTAATCAATGAAGCAGAAGTAAATGTTTTTCTGGAACTTTCTGGCTTTCTCCATAATCCAGCTCATGTTAGCAATTTGGTCTCTAGTTCCTCTGCCCCTTTGAAATCCATCTTGTATTTCTGGAAGTTCTTGGTCCACACACTGCTGAAGCCTATACTGCCCTCCAACTTTTATAACTCCTCATCATCGATTTTGTTGGACAGAGCTGGTTGAAGTTCCAATCCATCATTGGCTCGTAGGCCAGAAGTAGCTCATCATTGATTTAAATGCAAGGAAAGGGATTGTGCCGAACAGACTTTCCATTTTGGGGAAGATCTGGAAATGCCATCTACACACATCTAGCTGCATGTATGGAAAATATGGAGAGGGGCCAGCAGGTGGAATCCTATGCCATCTGCACACATCTAGCTGCATGTATGGAACATATGGAGAGGGGCCAGCAGGTGGAATCCTAATTCCCCCCCCTCGCATCCAGTCAATGTACACATGGATGCAGAGTCTCAGCAAATATCACATTGAAGGGATGCAAACCTATAATATGGGGCCTCCTCCATTGTCTGAAGGGCCATCCCATGACATTTACTTCCTGAAGCAGAGCAGCAATCACACTTCAAACCAAGCAAATATACGCAGTACCTAAAACTGGACAAATTATTTTGGTACATGAAGTCAGAAAATTCCATAAGCATCTCTCCCCATCAGTAGCACTTAATCAGTCATGTGCCATCTAGTCAGAACTATCTTATAGTGACTCTAAGAGGGCTTTCAATGCAAGTGAGATATGTACGAAATGTTTTTACCAATTCCACTCCCCCAGTGACTTTTGAAATGTTTTTACCAGTTCCACTCCCCCAGTGAGTTTCCATGGCCAAGTGGGGATTCAAACCCTGGCCTCCAAAATCCTAATCTGCTACTCTGTCCATTGCTCCAGACTGAGCAGCTGACCCTAGTAGCAGACATACAATTAATAACAACAAAAGATCTGCTGTCCTTTTAATTATGACACCCAACATATGCCATTGAAGGCAGTTAGCTGCTTTACATTGACTAATCACAGGCCAGATCAGACCGTCTATGACCAGGAATCTGACTCTTCTTCAAGACCACAAGGATCAAAGACTCCGACTCATGAACACAACTGATACATAATCAGCCATAAGCTTCTGCTTTGGCCGAACCATGTTGAAATATGAAAAAGAAGGAAAAACTGAGCCCCCACCTCCTCTAGTGCAGCATGATTTCTGAGGAAGGAAGGAATTTCATCGCAGTGTGGCAATTTCAAGAAAAGCATTGTGAATTCTATGCAAAAAGGATTCTAAAAGAATTTGAACCTCCTTTTAATTAGCTGGCTTCAGTGAAGCCAACTATTAATACTTTTAATGTTTTTTTCACTATATATCAAAATCAATCGTTATTCACCAAATAACAATAGAAATTCTTTTCTAAATATTTAAAAACACTAGCAAGTCTCTTCCTGTTAGAATCCACCAGTGGCAAAGGACAGGTTGTCCTAAAGTGGAGAGGTTTAGGAAGAAAGTACAAGATGTCTAGTTAACTCAGCAGCTTCCACCTTTTTCTATTATTTCACAACTTTTAAGACAAAGACGAGGAACCTGCAAACCCTAGAACCCCTTGTAGATTTTGTCCTAGTTTTACATGGGCCTTGGTCCAATCTGCAATCCATTCTTCAAAAGCCACTTTCTCCATGCCCCCATCCACTTTTTGGTTCTGCTCATGTCCACTCCAGGAATGCAGATTCTGCCAAGTTTCAACTGATTTAGTATTTTTCCTTACAGAAAAAAAAGCTTCTCTACTTCTGTTTTAAAGATGAAAGCAGAATATTCAGATTCTAAGATTTCTAAAATGCCAATCAGGCAACCCAATCCTACTATCATAGCTATTCATAGATAGATTAGAGGAACTGGGGGGAAGAGAGAGGAAGGAAGGAAGGAAGGAAGGAAGGAAGGAAG